TCCCTCTTATTTTCAGAGAGACAGTCAAAGCTCTTTGACAAGCAGAGGCTCCAAGTGGCAGAGTGGAGCGTGTTGGGCAGGGAACTGGAAGGCAGCTCCAGCCACTCTCCCGGGAAAGCAGCCGAGCCTGGTCCTGTGCCCTGCGACTTCTGAATATCCAAGGCCACCATCCACTAAAAAACAACAATGAAAAGAACTTCTCCCCCTGAAAAGAACTTACTTTTCCTCTTTCCACATCTCTTCACAACAAAAAGCAAATGTAGTCGAAGACCATTTCCTAGGATGGGATAAAGGAGTTTCTACACCCAAGGAAAAACACTCCCAGCTCTCCTCAGCATCCATTCACACCACCTGGAAAGCACTTTTTTATGACCTGGATTCTTCTGTCCCCACACTACAACGCAATGTGGTGCTCAACGAACAGCACAGACACCCAGTGATCCTTTTGCCTGTAGATTTTGGGGTGTTTACACCCAGAGGAACAGAAGAACATGTTACCTATGGCAGGGTCAGCCTGCAAACTGCAGAACAGCCCTTCCTGCACAAGTCCTAGCATGGACAGAGAGCCATCCTTCATTTTACCAACATGACAGGATTACTGTAACCTGATCCCATGTTTTGGCCACACAGCTCCAGCACATTTGCTGATACACAGCTCAGTAAATGTTTCCTTGTGAGAAAGCCAACTTCCCCCACCACCACCTTTCACATCTCAAGGTTATGGGATTAAAAGGCAAAATGAATTTTTTTTACTCTGTGGAAGAGGTGCCTGTTTCACTCTCAAATTTGACACTTCTGATCTGAAGATTATCTCTTCCGAAAGACCATTTCCCACAACATCCAAAACCAAAAAGCCTAATAAACTTCTTGTTTCATTCATAATATTCCTCTGTAATGGAAACTGTGGGATGGTACATTCACCACAGGAAAACAGACATCTAAATATCATTCAGGAGAAGGCCAACTACAGCTCAGGGACAAGAAAAATTCCTTTGTTCTGGTTTCTTCTTCAGCACTTCTCACTGCTATTACAGGCCAATCTAACAGGAGGGCCCTGGAGAGGAAGAGTAACAGCAGCAAAGAATGAAACCACAGAGTGAACAGCAGTAGTGAGAGAAGACAAAAATCCCCCACAAGAACCTTCCTTAATAAAAGCACTAGCACAGGACAATTATAGGTTTGCTTGTAGAAACCTCAATTGTGGGATTTGTTTGGCAAGAACATAGGTGCCTCCATAGCGGATGCTCTCACCATATACAACCACAGAATCATTTAGGTTGGAAAAGACCTCCAGGATCCTAGAGTCCAACCTGTGACCAGTTATCACCTTGTCAGCTACACCAGAGCACTGAGTGCCTGTTAGGGTTTGGTAGGAGCTCCTCTGTTGCTTTAAGGAATTTTTCCCCATACATGTTATCAGATGCTCGGATACTTAGGAGAGACAAAGGCCCCTGGCCGCTGGGGCCTGATGTCCAACCTGAATCTCCCCTGGTACAGCTTGAGGCCATTTCCTCTTGTCCTGTCACTTGTTCCCTGGGAGCAGAGCCCAACTCCCACCTGGCTACAGGCTCCTGTCAGCAAGTTGCAAAGAGGGAGAAGGGCCACCCCACCCCAAACCTCCTTTGCTTCAGCCTGATGCCCCCCAGCTGTTCCCCATATCATCTATCTCCCATTTCCTCCATTTTTCAATCTTCTTCTGATAAGGCATATGTAAATAACTAAAGAGGACACTATCCACCTACAGAAGTTGCAAACAGCCCAAGAAAACTGAATCATAGAAACAGACTAGTTTTGATTTGAAAGCATCTTAAAGACCACCTGATTCCAACACCCTGCCTTAGGCAGGAATACCTTACACTAGACCAGGTTGCTCCAAGCCCCATCCAACCTGGCCTTGAACACTCCCAGGGATGGAGCAGCCACAGCTTCTCTGAGCAACCTGTGCCAGTGCATCACCACCCTCACAGGGTACAATTGCTTCCTAATACCCAATCTAATGAAAGCATCTTAAAGACCACCTGATTCCAACACCCTGCCTTAGGCAGGAATACCTTACACTAGACCAGGTTGCTCCAAGCCCCATCCAACCTGGCCTTGAACACTCCCAGGGATGGAGCAGCCACAGCTTCTCTGAGCAACCTGTGCCAGTGCATCACCACCCTCACAGGGTACAATTGCTTCCTAATACCCAATCTAATTCTCCTACCTGAATCTCCCCTGGTACAGCTTGAGGCCATTTCCTCTTGTCCTGTCACTTGTTCCCTGGGAGCAGAGCCCAACTCCCACCTGGCTACAGGCTCCTGTCAGCAAGTTGCAAAGAGGGAGAA